GCGTACCGAACCGAAAGACCCGTACCGAAACGGTTCGGTACGAATACGTGTACCGTTACACCCCTAATATATATATAATAGATATACTTTATTTCGAGAGAAACTCAGAATTGCAAGATAGTAACTATATTTTCTCAAGTTCTGTTGTTTTATTTTGTTTTTCACCACGGAATAAAAATTTAAAAAGTTTATATTTATAACTTTTTTCAGAATTGCAAGAAAATACAGTTCGAATTGTGGAATTAAAAGTCAATTACCATCCCTTGCCAGAAACAAACTTCCATAACATTTAACAGAATTCACAAAATCAATGTAAAAAAAAAAAAAAAAAACATTTGAAAACTGAAATGACTAATTGGCAAAGTTTTTGGTAGATTTTTTTTTCTGAAATGAAAATGCGATTACATTTTATTACACAATTTTCTGTGTTTTTTGGGATGTGTAATAATGTACCATATTCGAGTCGTTTTTATCATTCAAAGAGTCATTGCTATTTTTACTAATAATGGTTCCTGTGTGGTTCAGACGACTCGCCCCCAGCAGAGCGTGAGCCCGGAGAGGTAGTGGACAGCCTCGTGGGGAAGCAGGTGGAATACGCCAAAGAGGACGGCTCTAAACGAACTGGCATGGTTATCCATCAGGTGGAGGCCAAGCCCTCCGTCTACTTCATCAAGTTTGATGACGACTTTCACATTTACGTCTATGACCTGGTGAAAACCTCGTAAAGCGGCGACACGGGACGAGGAGAGGGGGAGGAGTTTCACGTAAACCATGTGATCCACACAGACTTTTTTTTTGCCAAAAGTTCTCTCTGAACATTTCTCATAACATCTTTTGGAAATGGAACGCTGGATATTTCGGTGGATTACCGCTAGTGTCTCTTATCGCTGTAGGATGAACGGACATCCCCCCCCCCCCGACATACATGTAGCTAGTAGGTTCGTCTCGAGCATTTCCCATTCCTGTTGGTTGTCGCGAAGACGTTCATCGGGAAAATCCCATCTGGCTGTTCTGGGACGTTAAAGTGTTCATCTGTTGGACTGTTACAGCTCCGTCTTGGGTTGAAATTCAAGCTAGCGGTTTGCGCCGATCCTGAGGAAACGGTGAAAATGAAACGCGGCGGTCCGTGAAGGATGGGGAGCGTTCGGGACGTCCTAAACCTCGTAAAAGTGCCAGGAGGTGGAGGGCGGGAGAAAATGTCTGTAAATAAGACATCGTTCTGTCCTTGATGTCTTTGAGTCTGTTGCCAGATGTTTCTTGTTTTATCCCTCCGTCTTCTGGTTCTCGCCGGAATTGCGCACACGAGCTCCGCTGTCAATCAAATGTAGGCATTTGTGGCGTGAAACCCCACCGTCTTGTTTTTATGTATTTTGTTTTCTACTTTTTATTTTA